TAATATCATATACCAACATCCCAGGGGGTCTGTTTCTGTGCTCACTTTCTTTTCCTATTGGCCTGGTTGTCCATCCTTGCACCCATACCATCCATTTTTAAAAACTGTGATAAAATATAAATAACATAAGATTTACCATTTAACCATTTCTGAGTGTACAGTTCAGTGGCATTTAGTACATTCACACTCTTGTGTAACCATCACCCCATTCATGTCCAGAGCATTTCATTATCCCAAACTAAAACATTGTAACCATTAAACAATAATTCCTCATTTTCCCTTCTTTCCGCCCCTGGTAATCACCATACTACTTTCTTTATGAATTTGACTGTCCTATGTACCTCATGTAAATAGAATTATGCAATATCTGTTCTTTTATGTCTGGCTTATTTGACTTAGCATAATGTCTTCAAGGTTCAATCCATGTTGAAGTATGTATCAGAATTTCATTTCTTTTTAAAAATTTTTTAATTTAAGTATAGTTAATTTACAATGTTATGTTAATTTCTGCAGTTCATTTCTTTTTAAGTCTGAATAATATTGCATTGTTGGAAAATACATACCACATCCTGTTTATTCATTTATCTGTTGATCATACTCTGGCTTTAGTGGTTGCTATTTGCTTTTCTATAAATCTTGATGTCTTGTATGTATGTTCTCCTTCTTTAGTCCTCTGTTTCAAAATAGCATGGGCATTTTGGTTTTTAACTCACAAACTTTGTGCAACATAAGTATCTTTCATTATGAAATTTTCAGGCAAAGTTTAGAAGGAAAAAAGTTACATCTGGCAGTTTAAATAAATATTCTGGGAAAAGCCTCAAAGTACATTCCAAATACAGTTGATACAGTGTCAGAACTACATGTAAACTTTTTTTTTAATATAAATTTATTTTGTTTATTTATTTTTGGCTGCATTGGGTCTTCGTTGCTGCACGCAGGCTTTCTCTAGTTGTGCCGAGCAGGGACTACTCTTCATTGTGGTGCATGGGCTTCTCATTGCAGTGGCTTCTCTTGTTGTGGAGCACGGGCTCTAGGCGCACGGGCTTCAGTAGTTGTGGCACGCAGGCTCAGTAGTTGTGGCTCGCGGGCTCTAGAGCACAGGTTCAGTAATTGTGGTGCACGGGCTTAGTTGCTCTGCGGCATGTGGGATCTTCCTGGACCAGGGCTTGAACCTGTGTCCCCTGCACTAGCAGGCGGATTCTTAACCACTGTGCCATCAGGGAAGTCCCTACATGTTAACAGTAGGGATGTTATGAATAATGACTATTCATAACAGTCTGGATACTGACTATTGCCACCCAGAAGGAAAACAGCCCATTTGAGCTAACGGGGAAGGAGATAGGAAGGAATAAAGGGAAACAGTCAGACTTCTTAGACTTTATAGGACGGGCTTATAGAGCTATTGAGCTATGGATATGTGATATTCTTTAAGACAAGGGAGGAAGGACCCCAAAGACGATTTAGAGATCATTAAGCCTTCTTCCTTGGTATCAAAAGGTGGGAATATATCACTTCAGTTTTAACAGACCAATTCTTGCCCATTGCTCTGTGAGTGGTGCCACCCAAAGCCATGGGAGCAATGCTACCAAAGCTATGGAGGCCAGACCCCTGCCCAGCAGAGCCCTTGGGCAAGGCTGCCTCTGCCTAGATGTCAAAGAATGGAGCCCGTCTAGAGCTGTGGGCATCCAGCCTAGGCAGAAGACCACAGAGTGGATGAGGTTACTGCAGAGGGCCCCTGCCAGGGAAATGCCCAATGGAGCCATAAGGGTGTGGTTGCTCCCATGACCCCAAATCAGTAGAGCCACTGGTATGCAATTCCAGACAGGGAGAGCTGCAAGCATGCAAATCAAGCCAGTGAGAATTGCTCCCTGGACGGCCCCCAGCAAAGCTGTGGGGCAGGGATGCCCCAGTGTGCACGAAAGATCATTCCCATATCCCAGGGGCTCTGGCAGGCAGAGTATCGGGTGAAAGATTATTCTCAAGCCTTAAGATTTGATGTTTGCCTCGTTGGGTTTGGACTTGCTTGGGCCCTGCCACCCCTTTCTTTCCTATTTCTCCATTTAGGACTGGGAGAGTTTACCCTATTGCCTGTCCTGCCATTGTATTTTGGAAGCACATAAATTGTTTTATTTCATGGGTTCATAGCTGGAGAGCAATTTACCTCAGAATGAATCGTACCTTGAGTCTCATGCACATCTGATTCAGGGGATATGTATATGAGACTTTAAACTTGGACTTTTGAGTTAATGTTAGAAGACATTAAGACTTTGGGGACTGTTGAGATGGAATGAGCATATTTTGCAAGCAAAATGGACATGAATTTTGGGGAGCCAGAGACATAATGCTGTGGTCTGAATGTTTATTTCCCTCCAAAATTCATATGTTGAAATCCTAATGCTTTATGTGATGGTATTAGAGCTGGGGCTTTTGGAAAGTGATTAGGTCACGATGGGTCCACCCTCGTGAATGAAATTAATGTCCTTATATAAAAAAAGCCTGAGATAGGTACCTTATCCCTTCTGTCATGTGAGGATACAACAAGAAGTCTGTCACCCAGAAGAGGGTCCCCACATGACCATGCTGGCACCCTGATCTTAATTTCTAGCCTCCAGAACTGCGAGAAATTAATTTCTTTTGTTTATAAACCACCCAGTCTGTGGCACTTTGTTATAGCAGACCAGATGGACTAAGACATTCTCCAGTCAGAAAACAAAAAGTGGTTGAATGAATTAAAAAATAAAATCCAGCAATATGCTCTCTACAAGGGACTCACTTTAGATTTAAAGATATACATAGGCTGAAAGTGAAGGAACGGAAAAAGATATCCTATGCAAATGGTGACCAAAAACAGCAGGGTTGGCTACACTTATATTAGGCAAAATAGACTTTAAGTCAAAAACTGTCTCTATAGACAAAGAAGGTCATTATATAGTGATAGAAGGTCAATTTAACAGGAAGATATAGCAATTATATGTACATATCCAACTTCAGAACACCTAAATGTATAAAGCAAATACCAACAGATATGAAGGGGGAAATTGACAACAATACAATAATAGTAGAG